AAGCAGCATTATTGTTACTAATAACTGCTTGACAAGTGTACCAAGGCAGAGGAATTTGGAGGACTGTAGCAAGTTTTACTCTGAGAGAGGTCTATTTTTTGGCAACAATACTACACCCAAGCCATTGGAACCTCCACTAGTGAAACCTGCGAAGAGCAGAAAAAGATTGACGTATATAATAGTTGGACTTTTTGGTGGACTTGGCTTCGTCGTAATTCTGGTAGCAGGAGTGTTATTGCTTATGAAGACATGTAGAATAGGACGTCGAAATCATCAAAGGAGTACAAATGAGAGGCCTGTTCAAGGAGGAGGTAGAGAGCAATCTCCAAAGGTTTATATTGACTTGTCTGGGATTGGAGAATCATTTGCATACGAGCAGATACTCGAAGCTACGTGTAATTTTAGTGATGAAAACCTTATAAAGCATGGTCACTCTGGAGATATCTTTCAGGGAACGTTTGAAGGTGGATACTCAGTAGTTATCAAGAAAGTTAATTTACATTTGTTGGGTGAAGAATCATGCATGTCTGAGTTGGATTTACTAGGAAAGATCACGCACCCAAGGTTCGTCCCACTCCTGGGACACTGCTTAGAGAATGAAAATGAGAAGTTCTTGGTCTATAAATACATGCCAAATGGAGATTTGTCCAATTCCTTCTATAGGTTACCCAATTCAGAAGATGAAAGCTTGCAGTCTTTGGATTGGATTACGAGATTGAAAATTGCAATTGGAACTGCTGATGCCTTATCTTACTTGCACCACGAATGCAATCCTCCACTCGTCCATAGGTATTACTTAGCTTATTTATAGAATATTTTGGTCTTTTTACTCTTTAAGGGCGCATTTGTACTTGTTTTTGGCCATTTTCGTCTAACAACAGTGGTTAGATAGAGTTATTGATATCCAAAGAAAGTGTTGTAAAGCTACAGTCCAGCCTATTTTATTTTGGCTATGCTAATATTAGGTCAGAGTCTCACCATGCCAACACCTGTGGATGATTTTCCATCCTTTTATGTTATATTTGGACGTTTTTCTGATAACAAATTGTACAGTCTATGCTCATTTCTGAAAAAATCCCTCTAGATCCATTAATTAACTTCCAGTTCATTTTTTGCCTTTCAAAGAGATATTCAAGCTAGCAGTATCTTCCTAGATGACAAATATGAAGTACGGCTGGGAAGCTTGAGTGAAGTTTGTGCTCAAGGAGGAGATAATCATAAGAGCATGATTGCAAGGTTTCTTCAGACGCCGCAGTAAGTTAATTTCCTCCCTAAAAATTAACTTTTATGATCGAAAAACATAAGTTCCTTCAAAAAATGGCTTCTGCATTCATCCGAAGAGTTTCCTGAAGTGCATTCTTGTTCCTCATGGCTAAAATGAACATGTGAACACTTTCTTCTGCAGAATCTAATATTTCCAAGGAAAAATGTAATGGATGAAATTTCTAGCATTGAAATATAAACATTGTAATTCCTGAGATTACATGTCATTTTGTTCCCACTATAGTTTGCTTGAAGGAAACACTTGATGTTCACCCTGTATCTTTCTGTAGAACAGAAATGTGGATTTATATTCTGAATTACATTTAACAAAATAAAGTCGTGTACCGAATTTATTGAAGATAAGATTTAAAGAATGCATGTAATCCCTCTCTAGTGGCTCAAGTTTTCAGATGAGTTGGTTAACAAAACATTAATAAAATAAAATATTTTGCACATCATGAAACTTGTCTTCCAGTCTATTTATTTTCTGTTTTCCATCTTTTAAGTAAATAAGGATCTTATCGTCTGTGTATGCTTGTAAAACCTGTCACAAAAAACACTGTATTGATTGAGGATTTGAGCTGCCCAAACCGTTGAGATTTTATTAAGTTACCGTTGTATATTTGCTTTATGCTGATGTTGGACACCTTTTTCCTTTCAAATTTATTTCTTGAGGAAGTATTTCATTTCAAAGTTGTCTAAGACCTTTTTCGTTGACAATGTGCAGGACTTCTGGAAGACGCCCATCTGGTATGTAGAATTCTCTTACATATAAATGAAGTCTCTTTATGATATATAGTTTCTCTTCTCTTCTTCACTCGACTGGGTCGGAAAACCCTTTTGTTCTAATTCAATAATTTGTTTGAAAATATTAGATAAGTTACTAATATATAGTTTCATTAATATCCAGGATCATCATCTGCTATTTGTGCCTATGATGTATACTGCTTTGGAAAGGTCTTACTCGAGCTTGTAACTGGTAGGCTTGGCATCAGCAGCTCAAATGACGCCCATGCAAAGAAGTGGTTGATTACCAATTTATCCTTTATCAGTATATACGAGAAGGAATTGGTAGTCAAGATTGTAGACCAATCTCTCGTTATAGACGAGGATCTTCTTGAAGAGGTCTGGGCCGTTGCAATAGTGGCGAAGTCGTGTCTGAATCCCAAAGCTTCTAGACGACCTTCAATGAGACATGTACTCAAAGCATTGGAAAACCCTTTTAAGGTAGTGAGGGAGGAAAATTTCAGCTCGGGGAGGCTCAGAACAACTTCATCAAGGAATTCGTGGACTGCTGCATTCTTCGGTAGTTGGCGCCACAGCTCATCAGAAAGTTCTAATAGTCAAACGAACAAAGAAATTATCGCTGGTCTAAAGCAGACGGAGAGAACTGGTTCTCGTAGTAGTGGCGCTAATGATCATTCATCTTCACATAAAAGAACGTCCAGTGAGGTTTTCCCTGAACCTGTTGAGATGCAAGATGTTGAGAAACAGGATGGGAGCTGCTAAATGATGTGTACAATACTGCCAGCCATTTATTATGCACCTTGTCGAACAATAAGGACAGATGATCAAGGTTATGAAAGAATCGACATTTGTAATTCATGCCATGAGCTACTGAAACGGGCAGAGAGAAGAGTTACGAGGCTGTGCAGCAAGGTACCAAGTGATCTCAAGAGCTTGTCATTTTTGGAAGCAGGCTGCAACTTTCCCTGTCAATGACGAGTTTTTGCATTAGTTGGCTACAAATATATTTGCAATTTGTATAGGAGCCAGTAACTATTGAATACCAATCATTATTCAAAAGTTATTTATGTCGTCACTTACCCTATTTCCTTGGTCAGAAAAACTAGGAAGAGAGTAAAATTTGGCTTGTGAATCAGTTTACGTTGTTATGTTCGTCCAAGTGAAGTCTGGATTTGTCTATACCATTTGTGAGTATTAAAAGTGCATGATATGAATGAATAGCAGCATCTTTATGTTACTTTCCGCACTATCAAAGTTACGATTCTGATATGCTTCAATTACCCAAAACAACATAATCTTGAACGTCTCTGAGAAAAATCTGTTCATTTGACAGGAACAGAAATTTAAATCTAAGTTAAAATGTTGAAGAAATGCAATTCAGTAAAGCTATCAATTCTCAGATACCAAAAAAAATTTCTCAATCAGATGAAATTTAAATAGAGACGGCTGTGGACCCCTAAAGTTGGTCTCTCTCAATGCACAAAGAAACCAAATCATTATTATTGTTGGGTTTTTGATACCCAATAAATCCGGGCTATGATGTTAAATCGGTATATCAGTTGGATAATATTTCATAGGCATCGGCCGATGATTGA